AAGACACTAACCTTGTCAGATATAAAAGTTACATTTCTTGTTATATAGGTCTTTCTTTATCTTGGTTGCAACCATCCAGCAGAAAAGTATAAAAACAAGGTTAGAAAGTAAAGTCATATTAATGGGCTGAGTTGTAAAAGGCTCAAGTCAACAACTTTTGACATTGCCAGTCTTACGGATAACCCACTACTATTATGGACTACTAGACTATATTGGATTATTCTGCTGAATTCACGCACCTACAATATTTAAATGGCAATAGAATACCCATCTCTGACAAAAGTAAACAAAAAAGGGGATACAAATAAAGGACCATTTTGCATCTGTATATACAAAATAGTTAAGATATACAGCTACTTTCTCTTAATTCAATGAGAAGCAAGATTTGTACTAATAGTGTTTAGACAGGATATCATGTCTGCATCTTGTACTATGAAAAACCACTACAAAGGCAACAATATTCAACGTATTAATTATTGAAACTGTTCTATTAATTGGTTTTGAAACTGTCTCATTGCTATTTGTTTCTCAATAAAATTAATTTTAAAAAAGATGACAGAAAGGAAGGAAGGAAAGAAGGATGGAAGGAAGGAAGGATAGACGGACGGACAGACACATATGAATACAAATAAAGACCAAAACAGAAGATAGTGTGGAGAAGTTCAAATAATTTCCCAAATTACCTATTTCTTTGTTCACTGAAAACATTTTGTGCTATTATCTGCTTGTCTTTTCTTTGTCTTTTTTGTCTGTCTTGCACTGCAAGTAACTGCTTTTAAGATTACGATACACAATGCATTAACTATTATTACTCTCATTATTTTGTTATGAACTTTATTTTTTCATAAAATAGTCTTAGAGTAGCAAATGCTGCGTCAAAAACAAGAGATACTTAAATATCTATCAACTATTAACTAGAACCACATTTTAAAATAAATTTCAATTTAACATTTAAATCTTCATTCTATTTATTTGTTTGTCTTATTTATTTATTTTGCAGTACCAGGGATTGAACTTGGGACTCTGCGCTTGCCAGGCAGGCGCTTATGCTGCTGAACTATCTCCCAAGCCCTAACATTTTAATCTTTAAAATATGAATTTCTAACAGCTTATGTTGTTAGTGGTCTGTGAATGAGGTTGTGTGAATGGCCCTGAAAACAACCAGCAAGAGCAAATATTGCTGAAGAAAGGCATCCTAGGCTCCACACCAAGGTCACACAGACGCTTGCTTCGGCAGTATCAGAGCAAAGGATGTGAATGCCAGGCACAGCACAATCAGACTGCATGCCTGGCTTGCCGAACACAGTGCCACTCCATGGGCACCAGCACGGTCACTTCCAAGAACAGTACACGACAAAAGAGTATACGCACGATGCCCCATGAGCTGTATCAGCGCACGGAACTCCAGAATTTGCTATAGGAGTCTCTCAACAGGGTACCTCCAACTTAAAAGACATATTTACTCAGAGAGCTGCCAAGAAGCTGGAGAAGTTCAAATAAAATCCCCTACTTGGGAAGCAACAGCCATCCAGCTGCCTTTCCATATTCACAGAAAAGGAAAAAATCTAACTTTCCAGGCTAGAAGGACAAAAGGGTGCAGCTTGATGTGAGAAGTACCATTTTGCATGGAAAGAACACCATCTTGTGGATTTATGAGATATTACCAAAACTGGCTGGCACAAGAAGTTAGTTGTACTGTGATCCTTTCTGCTATGCTTGAGAACACAAAAATGTAGTGAATAGGGGCCGGGGAGATGACTCAGTGGAATAAGTGCTTCCCTGGCAAGT